CTGACTTGAAATGTGATTGAGCCGCGGGGGGAATTTTCATAGTGTCCTCCATGATTTATTTCATATGACTCGTCACAGTATCCCACGGCCGGAAATGCTTGTGACACAAAGCAGCGAGCGTCAACACATCCGCAGGGACATCTGCTGGACTGGAACATGTATTCCACTTGATTTGGCTGATGTGCGCCAACCATTCACGTATTTTATTTGTTCATATTTTTTTTTTTTTAATAATCGATTCTTGCCTTCAAGAATCGATGCAGTAGATCACAAAAATTAGAATCGCGATGCATCGATATGACGATTATTTTGCACACCCTTAATATATATATATGTTTAACATTTTATTTTACTCTTTTTTTTCATTGCACTTCCAATTGTAGTGAGTGTCTCAAAGAAACATTAAAAGTATGTTTATTCTGCATGAAGTTTAGGTGAAGCTGGCTCCTCCATTTATGAGAAATAAGTATTATGATTGCATAATTCTGGTTAAAGCCACAAAGATATGACAGGGAATGTGAAACCCACTATCTCTAATAGTTACCTACTTCTTTTTAAAAAAGTTGACCTAAAACTTCAGTGCAATAAAGAAAAACTACTCAAAGCTTCCTAAAGGTACATTCATCTATCTTTTCTCTTTTTGTTGCTCTGGCACAGGCTGATTTTAGTTCACCTGCCAAAAAACAGATGTTCCAGATCCACTTTAGCTGTTCAATGCATTTTCTGCCAACTCAGATTTGACCTTTCCATATCTCAGGCATATAAATGGGTTTTACTTTGACCCGTTTTTTTTTCTGGCTTTATGCATAATGCTAGGTTGAGACCGCAAAAGCTGAAAGCAGCAAAAAAGCTTCTGCTGCTTCATTTTTGATGTTTGTACATATTAAGGTCTGACGGGCCTCAATAGTATCTTTGATGCTCCTAAAGCTTGTCCAATAAAGTGTGTCCAGATGCCTCTGATGAAGATTTGCTGTTATAAGTGGGTAAAAAGTAGTTTTTATATGTTTTTAAGTGAGAAAGTCCACCTGTAAATTTCATCTGTGCAGTCAGTTTATCAAGATCACCATCCTGCCTTCAAATATTATTTTGCTGTCAGAGCCGCTGAGACCTCCGTACACCGGCGGTGCTCTTTCACTGGACATCAACGGCAGCCTCTGGTCTGGTCGCTTATTTGCAGTTTTCCGTTAATGTTTGCGGCAGCTGGAAGGCGTTTTTCATGTACATAATCCAAACTGCAGGCACAAGAATAATCAAATTGGACATATTTTGCCAGCAGGTGTCGATATTTTGAGGTAATTTAAGTGGTAATAAACTGTTTCAGGGGAGTGATCATCAGCAGTGTGTCTGTTTCTCTGCCTGCTTCGAGTAGCAAAAGTTCAATTTTTCCAACTTCAGTACCATCAAATGCTCGCAAGCTCATGAAGCGCTGCTTCAGCTGCTCAGACGCGCTAATCCTGTTGCTCAAAACACACTACAGGACCTTTTGCTGCACCTTGACATCAACTATTCACTTTGCATGTAAACTAGCTGCTTCTGCTGCCTCTAGCGCCTGCGGTCTGAACATAGCATGTCTTCTTGTTTCATGGTTGATTTTATGTCGAAGTACTTTTTTATATTATAGGTGGAATGGTACGTTGTTTAATTTTAGGCTTCTTCACTGGTTCCAAGTTAAGTTTTCTTTTTTGTATTTGTCGTCTAACTTAGAGAAGGAATATTTAACCCACTATGATGTTTTTCTATATCCTTCAAAAAAGTATGATTCATACCTGGCCTCTCAGGGCAGTTAAATCACTCCACAGATTGGACTCACCTGCTTCAGAGGCTGGGTAGAACAAATACATGATATAGAGATGACTTATTGACTCCAGATCCCCCATCTCTGTCTCAGGGTATCCTGGCTTCCTTCCAACTTAAATAACAGCGCACGTTAGGTTAATAGGTCACTCTAAATCTCCTTCAGGTGTGATTGTTCATCTTTGTTTGATTTATGGACGACCACAGGTCATGGATTTTCAAAAACAAATAGTAATGATTGCACATTTTCTTGGCAAGGATTGCAGCTGTTACTGATCTAAGAAATTGCTGATTCTTTTGCCTCTTATGTCTTTCAGAATGCAGGAGAGGGATCTACAGAGCATGTGCAGAAGGGTGCTGCTTCTGACCATCTGTTTGGTGTCTCTCTTGGGACAATTGACAAGTGCATCATCACACCGAAGCCACATAGGTAAACTTTATGTGCCAGCAGTTTTTTTGTTTAAGGATTATATATATATATATATATATATATATATATATATATATATATATATATAGGTACTATTACTGTACTATTATATAGTATATATATTTTACTAGATACTAGTATAAAGATGTATAGAATCACTTTTCAACATGTAAATATATTGATCTTGGTATAAAAGATCAAAAAGATTCTCTCCTAAAAGTAAACTTAGTGAGGTTATTTAATGTTGCTCTTCATCTATGACCATAATAAACAATTTGCTTGATAGTAAGCTCTAATGAACCTTTATGATACATTTTCTTGAGTTAGCAGACAGCAGAAATCAGCAGCCCACTTTGTAGCTGTGAAAAGAGCAAAACAGCAAAAACCAGTTTTCATGGTTGAAAAAGATGGTTAGCATTTTCCACACAGATTTGAGAAGGAGGAATGTAATTAGATCCTGTAAGTTCCATGCATTCCTCCATTTTCTCAAGCCTATTCCGTCAGCATCATGGTGGGACCGATGCCTATCTCCGGCAGTCTATGAGTGAGAGGTGGGGTACACCCTAGACAGACTGTCATACTGTAGAGAGACATACAACCATGCACACACACACTCACACCTAGGGAAAATTTAGAGACGTCAATAAACCTGGACTGTGGGAGGAAACTGGAGTACCCGGAGAGAACCCAGGCATGCACAGGGAGAACAAACTCCATGCAGAAGGGCCCCGGGCCGAAAATTGAACTTGTGGCATTCTTACTGCAAGGCAACAGCTCTACAAACTGCAACTCACAATCCTTTAAGTCTTAAAAGTAAATTGTTATTCAGTGATATTCAAATAGTCCACTATCAGAGCAAATCAATTTCAGAATTTTCTGTTCTAAAAGGCATCCGAATACATATTTTGTTATGTTAAATCTTAACTCAACATAACCCAAAAAACAAAAACAGTATTTTCTCCATTTGCTATAAATAGGTTCAGCAGTGACAGAATATGAAAGCTATTTTAATGGACCTCACTGCATGTTTTAGCAACATTTTAGCTCACTGCCTTTTGTAAGGTGGGAAAGTGAGGTAACTGAATCTTATTTTGTGTGTAGAAGAGCAAAACAGTGATGCTGAGCAACGGTTGCACTTTGTACAAATGACACTTCAACCATTTGACATCTTTCAAGTTAAGCATTGAAAGTTGAAACATAATGTCAGTACATCAACTCTGCACGAATATCCAAGTTGGTGAGTGTCCTTCAAGTGGGAGACAAGACCTTTCAAAGTGATTCCCCCTAATGGAGAGATGGCTTGATCCCTGGGCGTAACGGTGAATGCTGTGACCACACATTGAAATAATGAGCCTGCTTCCACGGAAGGACAAATGGCACAGAGCAGCTAGAAGGGAACAGCTCCACATTATCTGAAAATGCAAACACAACCAGCGACAAAATAACTGTACAATGATGTAATAGAAAAAAGCTTCATATATACAAAAGAGAGCTACTTATGAATAAATTCATATGATTTTTCTTCTCTAAAATAGCTTGCATGTTTGTATTATTGTCTAAGTGTTACCAGAAAGCTTTACAGATTTGTACAATCAGTGGCTCCAGTAATATCTTTTCAATATATTCGTTAAATTTCAGGTCTTTTTACAGTAATTGAATTTAAAAAGGATTTTGCATTTTGTATTTCAGTAGCCTTTAAAGATCACAATGATAACATAAATTTGTTGTAGAGTCTAGAATTTGAGGTTTTTGTGTGTTTTTCATTAAACATGTTAATGGAAGTTATATTTACAACTTTTTTGTTCTGTTTATTTTTTCTTAAACGATTTAATCAGTATCGTGGTTTTTTATTTTATTTTTATCCAGACAGAAATATAGTTGCAAATTGCTGCTTTTAAACAAATCTTTAAAAAATGAAATAAAGAAACAGAAAATATTGATAACTGTATTTGAGAGTCTTAAATACAAGTCTACTTTTGATTTTAAAATAGTTTTAGACCATATTCTTTGGAAAATGACTTTATATAAATTAACTAAAAAAGATTGTTATTGAAGCGAACTGAAATAAGCCTGTATGCTCACAATGTAGGGTTTGCTAAGTCCATCTCTATGGCTAATCATTTATGCTTTTCTTCCTTATAGACAGGGAAACCCATGCTGGCTTCTGTTGAGATCTGAAAAAACAAAGAACCTGCAAATACATCTGTTAAAAAGAAAACACCTAATTTGCTGTAAAAATACCTGTCAACTGGCCTTCAGGATTTGAAAATACAGTAAATTTTACATCATCCTCTGTGAGCCGTCCAACTACCACAGTCAAGCTCCATAGCCCATTAAATTTTAAGACGTGCACAAAAGCTCTAAAATACACACCAGTTCAACCAACTGGTTCAACCAACCAATAGGCATGATGTGCACCTTTGTTAACAATTTCCTTAAAATCCTTACATGCACAGCAAGTGGCTGCAGCCTCTGGTGTTTGTTATGCTCTGACCTAACTCTGCACTCTGCTTTCTTCTTTGATCAGCAGATTGAGACTTTGACCCAGGCATGACTCACTCTTAATAATACTTCTGGACCTCTTTGAGTCTGATGCTGAAGCTGTCCTTAGTCACTGCTGTCACTCTCTGGTTTAAGGGAGGAACTGCTTGTTCCACTGAATAATGTTAAAGAATCCTAAAAAATTCCTGCATCTGGATTAGGAGCTTGATCATCGCCAAAATTTAGATTGTTCCTTGGACTGAGGTACACCTTTGGTAAATATCACATTAAAATCCAGTTATCAAGTTATCCTGTACAGAGACAGACAGACAGACAGACAGACAAACAAAAAACACACAGAATCAACTAAAAACATAATAATGAGGGACATTTATGGGAGACTGCTAACACAGGGGAAAAAAGACAAATATTTTGCAGAACTGCAAAAATCAATAATATCAGCGCACAAATCATGACTTGATCACTGTAACTATGGTAGTTGAATAAGTAGTGACCATATTTATAAATAACCTATTAAAAACTGTTCAAAACTAAATGCAGGAAATGAGAAGTAAAAAATGAGAGCTGATAATGGAGAAAAAAACATTAAAAGATTGCCTTTGCATCAAAGACAAAAAAGTTTCACAGTATATCCAATATTTTGTCTCACATCACATAGGTTTACTGTGGGTCCTGTTTCCCTTTTTTACCACAGAAACAGGGGCCAAAATATGAAGAGTAATCTCTGTATTTTTCAGCAATTATAATTAGAAACATGAGAATCCATATTAAACCAACATAGAAGTGACAGATCATCAAATTTCATTAGAAAGTTATTGATTAAAAACTTTATTTTATAAGATGTATTTTTCCCATGCGTTTTAAGTCAACAATTTGATTTTCCAACACAATGACAATAAAGAGCAGGAACATGGAACACTTGATGGCACAAGCACTAATACTATGAACACTATGTTCAGGAAGCATCTGACTAATTTCCTGTCAAGACTTTTCAATACAAGGCAAGTATTAAAAAAGGGATGACCCATTTGATCTTTATATTTGGAAACACACTTTATGAAAAGGGAATCCGATATTTTTAACATCTGCTGGAAACAATACATTTGTCACAGAAATAAAATTGGAACCAGATGAAACCTAGTCTAATTTAGAGTTAAGTACCTAATTTAGATACTGTAGTTATTATTTAATTGAGAGTCAGGTACATTCAGCTCGAACTACTGACCAATAAACAGGACACTAAAAAGGAGAGGTATAGGTTACTTGGAGACTGGACAAAAACAACTTAAGTGCATTATTCCAAACTGCATGCATGACCAGAAAATGGTATTTTGCTTAGTCTATGTAAAAGCTGAAGAAAAAAAAAACAGCAGTGCTATGTAGTGAAGCATTATATGTTTTCTACCCCTCCAAGGTTATTTGTTTGTGCTGGAAAACTATTTTCATAAGGGAATCTCATCATTGATAGATAACAATTACTTTTTATCACTCTTAGTGTCCTGCCACAGGAGCAGTCACACTCCTGGGGGAAAATAAAGTAATCTCTGCACTGATGAATGCCTTCAACTTCAACAGTAACACTATCGCTGTGATGTATCTTCAGCATTTCAAGATAAACACAGTAACTGAAGGACATAGCAGGGACCAACCACCAGAAAACACACAAAGCTTCCTGAATTGAAATAAAACATGAATACTGGTAAAAGGGTAGAATTGCTTACTGATTCACTGTGTTTATTTAGGGTTAACAGTAAGATTATTTCACACATGTCTTGATTGATTAAGATTTGCATCCAAGTTATCATCTAACCTGGTATGTGCCAGATTGGTACAAATTATTTTCTGTTTATTTATTAATTTTTTTGTCCTTACGTTTTGATTGGTTAAAGAGAAGACACTGTAGTTACATAGCTTGCAGACATTTTGATGGATGTGTAAAGGGCTTTACCTTATTTAAACTTGACAAGAAATGCAACGCTGTCTGTTAATATTTGCTAAATCTTCCTTATCATAAGTTTTACGTTAAGCAAGAATTCTGCACAAATAAGGATTATCATTTGAAATTTTAAACACTGATAACAAAATAAAGTGTTCCAACAATTAGACTTAAATAAATACTTCTATACTTAAATAATTTCTACCGTTAGATGTGCAGGTATTTGGATTATACTCCATTGTAGACCACTCAGTTTTACCATAAACAATGATAAAGCTTGCAATACTAGCTCTTACAATCCACCTGCTTTGTGCTCATTTGTGAAGATCATCACCTATTTAATCTGATTTATGAGTATGGGAAGCCAGCACAAGCAAACTGGTTCTCCATGGAATCTACCAACACTTCTGTAATCACGTAGCATGTCCTTGAGCTACGGAGGTCAAACCAAGACGGGCCAAATAAACAAACCTCTTTAACCCCTCTTTTTATTAAGATGGAGGCTTTGGTAAAGCAATTGAACCTTTTACCATAGCCTGAATGCAGAAAACAGAGCTTGCAC